CAAGAAAGTATGAAAATGTAAATATCACCTCGTGAATGCTTATGATCAAACCGTTTTTCTGATTTACATAACAAAATAATGAGTGTTAGGAAAAAATTTAATCATCTGCAATCAATAAGTGACTATGAAAAAAGTTTATCCGAAAGATTACCTTCTCTTAAAAAACAAAAATTAGTAGTTCCTTTTTCAATTCCTGTTGTTATAATATTATTATTACACTGTGTATTGCTTTATTATATAAGGCTAATAATATATATGTATACTCTATAAAATAATTGTTTAAATAAATTAAGAAAAAATATATATATCCCTAAAAAATTATATCATCAATTTGAATGTTTTCTTTAATTAGTTCACGCTTTGTAGCTCATACTTGTATCCTGCTATAAAAAGGATAAGAAATGTACTTAGAAATGCAGATGAATAATGTGATACAAAGCATTCATGAGATACATATGAAAATAATTCATGAAATATTATACATAATTTGTTATATATTTCTGAATAATGACAACAATAATTATATAATTACAAGAAAGTATTTCATTTAAGTAGAATATAAAATTGATTAAACAAATGCTTTTAAATTTATTTGTATTAATATTTTCTTATAAAAGTGAAATTGTGCTCATAATACAATATAAAAGATATTGATTTATTAGAAAGTTTAATTCAATAATGCTTCGGAAGAAATTATAGATAATGTTATTAATATAATTAACTAGTTCATGTAGAATGACTAAAACTAAAATGTATATTTTCATAAATTTACATTTTTTCATATTGTGTATTGTGTGTGAATATAATTTTTTTTTTTTATTAAATGATATCTCATTTATATAATAATATAATGACACTGAAATAGGACACTTACATATATGTCATAATATTCTATTATATAGCGTTATATAAAAATATATGTTGAATTATTAAATATAAACAATGAAAATTTATTTTTTGTTAGTATGATATTTATAATATTCATATAATGTTTTTTTACAAAGTAAATTATGTTCACCTCAATTTATGACAGTAATGTATGAAAATTTTAATTATATGTAAATTTTTTAGGTAAATCGAAGGACTTGATCACAAATACATCATTTATTTGGTTTATACAGCATAATTTTTTTTTTAAATGAATTGAATTCTTTTATACTCATATATTTTATATATAATATATGTGAATTTGACTAATTACATTTCATTACACAACGTTTTGCTTAGTTAGAATTATTATTTCAATATACCATGCTGAATATATACGTAAAAATATATATAATATATCATATATACCACCTATTTTATTATAAAAAATATGTTATTACATAGGACCCTATTTTTATTTTTAAAATACCACGAAGTGTATTTATCTATAAAGCATATAATTATATAAACAATCTCAATAAGAAATTTGAACAGCTCTTTAAGGTAATATATGTGTAAATAAAAAAAAAATATATTTCGTGCAAAAGGATGTGATAAATATTAATTATCATATGCTAGAAAATATAATTACATCTAAGATTTATATTTCAGAATTTTATCTATGTTATAAATTTAAAGTTAATTTTAATTATGCTTTTTATTTAGATTTTTTATTAAGCATTATATTAATTTTTTTTTTTAAATCAAAAAATCGCTCATAATATACATTCCTGAGATAAACCCTTTTATATATACTTAAATAAAAATATTTTAGTATATAAAAAAGAATAAAAAGCATATTTGAAGAAAAAATAGGTATATACATTCAATAAAAGGATACAAATATATTTTTATATTATTTATAATACATATAGAATTGATGTTAATTATTGTCTAAATAACTATATATATACATAGGTAGTAACAGTGTGTATACACCGAATAAATATTTATTTTGTGATCATATAAAATACTAAAATTCTTATAATAAACATATATTTAAAAAAAATAAGTGTTATGAAAATAGATAAATTTACTTTTATGTTATATATAATAATATACACTAAAAAGAAAAACATGCATTTTAAAAAATTTACTACGATTTCTAGTGTATATAGAAGGCAAGATTTTTTATATTTAAAGGAATACATGCTACCTCAGTCTGCATATATATTCATATTTATGCAAATAACAATATTAGGTGTGTTAATTAACATATAAAATTTATTTATTATACTAGGCATACAAATTTTAGCTTTTATATTTTCATAATTTCATACCATACTATTTCATACATACTTTATCACATATATAATTTTTTTAATAAATAATAATATGTGTGTTAACAAATATAATTTTTACTTGTGTAAATATTATAATTATAGATTAAATTCAGAGATACTATATTTTCTTGCAAGCACAAATAATAATTTCTAGGAAGACAACATATTTCATTTAATGAGAGAAATTATTATTCACATAAATACAATTAATTAAATTAAATATATGTTATAATATATAATAAAACATATAATTCATTAAGATATACTATCATTATGAAAATGGAAAAAGTGATATTATACTTTTACTTTTATTATATTGAATATTCGCCAATTTGTTATACATACTATTTATATTAAATAACCTTAAATGCAATATTAGGCAATGATTATATCCTTTTGTATTTATTATTACACTTGAAAATATAAAACATTAGTTATTTGATAATTATAATTTTAACACATATTTTATATTATGATTACATTTATATAGTGTTCCGCATATATAAAATGTGTCCATTTAGTAGTATTCAATAAATATAATTCTAATTGAAAATAGAATATGAAATAAAAAAAATAAATAAACTATCTATAATTAACAGATTAATTCATTTTAATGAAATAAAAAGGTAAATAAAAAAGTAATTTATTATAATGTAAAATAAAAATATTACTATTGCTTCATTATTGAATAATATAAATTCATATATTCTAATGTCTATAAAAATATAGATTATTAGGCATGTAACATTTGAGAAAAAACAATGTGCATTAAGTAAGGATATTACTTATATTAAATTAATTAAAATATGTATAATGTATTATTTTAAAAATTAAACAATAATTGAATATTCTAATTTAATATTCCTACATAATATATATAATTAATTTTTTGTAAATTATATATTAAGATAGTATTAAAATCTATGGAAAAAATAAATATTAACAGTATATATATGTAGATAACAGAGTTGCCTTATTAAAAAAACTAAAGTTAATGTAATTCCTATAGAAATATATTGTTTGATAAATAATCATATAATTAATATTATAAAATAACTATTAAACAAAGAATTCTAAACCCAAATGTCTAAAAAAGACTCAATAATATATAAGCACTAAAACATTAAATTTCAACCTTGAAAATATAATATCTACGTACTAAAACCTAAGCCTATATCATGAATCCTAAAATCTAAAATCTAAATCCTGTAACGTGAGCCATAAACAGTAAATATAAAATCTTAAGGCTGAATCCTGAACGTTAAACTCTGAAGCCTGTACACTAAAACTCAACTCTAAACACTAAACTCTGAACCATGTAAATCACATTTTTTCCCCATAATTATGCACATTTTTATGAATATTAATTAGTTAAGTATATAAATATATATTTTAGAATAGAAAAATATTGATTAAATACAAAGGGTACTTTATTGTCGAGTATCCCAAAATAGAAAAGTAAAAAGAACTTGATTATATTCATAAATATATGACATATGGTATATACAATTATATTTATATTAAATATATGCAATAGTAATAATAAATTATATAACATAACAAATATAAAAATTGCATTAAAATAATATACACTTCACTGTATATTAGCTTCAGATTAATTACTTGTTTATATTAAAATAACATTACCACAATTCTTGTAAAAT